CTAGGCATAGAAAAAAAACATTCAAGAATTTTCAAGTTTTTTTTAATATGACAACAAATAAGATAAAAAAGGATATTTAAACTAGAACCAGACTCTAATATGAGATGACATGATTTTGTCCTAGAAAGAGTACAATCGCTTGTGAATTTAAATCCATAACAGACATAACAAAAATAAATAAGAGAAGAATACGAAATAAGACAAAGATGAGAACACCACAATCTAACATATTAATAAGTTAAGGGAAGATTATTCACCACAAAAATGTTAATCTTTGATAATAGTCAAAGTTTTAATACAATAACATAAAGAAACCTCTCTAAAAGAATGCAAAAGGCATATTATATGAATCAAAAGTGTTTACCTCAACTTTGAGTACCACTATAAACTAAAATCTTAAGCCCAAAACACATACAAATAACAGAAAACAACAATTACAAACACATAATTTTTACCTAGCGAGATCTGCTCGCCAACAAACACACAAACTGTAATTAATTAATGATCTTCTTGTTTTTAAGTTTCTCTTCTCATGAAACATTATAAAATTCAAAAGAATCGTGTTTTAATTTTTGGTCTGGTTATAAATTCTTTGAATTATAAATGTTCTTCTTCTCGTATATATTTAGGAAATAGTTATTTACTAGGATATAATGAGAATTATATTATCAAAACGTACAATTTATTTTATGCAATCAAATTATATATTTTTCAAAAAAAATTTCTCTATTTCTATTTCTATTTCGTATAGAACTGAACTTTCAATTTTAGTTTTTACTTGATATATTTTGTCGTCTTATTTATTCTTTATTCAAAACCATACGTGGGGTGTCTTCTTTGATATGAGGAGAGAAATAGAAAGAAAGAAAAAAAAAACTGAAAAAAAGACATTAAACGTTTGGCCCATTCCAGTGTGAACAGTTAGATATTTGGAGATTAGATTCAGCACTTTACATTATTAGGAAATGAACATGAAAAATGTGACTCTAACATAATAAATATAGACCAATTTGAGTTATTAATTTATATCTAAATTTTAAAATTTAAATTTTCTTTCTTTACGTAGTTTAAATTTCATCTACGCTTAAAAGTATTTATATTCCATATTTACATTTTATGTTAGATAATTTAAATGTCATTTAATAGATGTTCCTACACTATAAATAGTCTCCTCCTATATTTATAAAAGAAATTTCGATTGTATTGAATGAAATGAGATTTTTCCATAACATTTATAGAATTCTTTAAAATATGAGAATGTTTCTTCTTGGTTAAAATAAAAGGAGAACATTCTCACAGGGATCTATCCACAGGAATATGCTCGGATAGGTTTAAAATACCTATAATAGTTAACAATAAAAGATATGAAGAGTAAATGATTGAAAATAAAAGAGTGATTAATATACATAGAAAGAGCGTTTGTAAGTTAGAAATATTATTTGTTTGATACAACTAACAGTACTATATTACACTGGTTAATCTTTGGGTTAGACTTTCACAATAAAATATTTCAATAGTGAGGGTTCGCCACCTTTTTTACTACCCCACAAAAATAAGACCCTTATACCAAGGATCCCACACCCCAATCCCTCCTTCCTAAATTAATTTAATATATAACATCTCTCTGCTTTATATAATTATCATCGCTTTTTGTTTATATATTATTCCAAACATTAAAAGCATACTTAAAATTAGTAATATTTGCTCTTTATTCCATGAAATCAATTTTAGAAATAGACATTTGAGTACTACTTAATTAAAAATAAATAAAAGAGTGCTCTTGTAAAAAATTTTGATAGAATTAACTTTCATTATTAGACACTTTTGTATAAAACTATAATGTGTAGGTATGTTTGAGTTTTGAAAGATTATTTTGGATCACATTGATTTTGAATTTCAATATGGTTATTTAAAAAATCTTAATTGCATTATTTATTTTATTTTTATGAATTATATATATACATAAATATATATTTTAAATGTATTTGAATATATTTTACCTTATATATCGCATTTGATACTTATATCGTTTCAGTGCATTTTAATCAATATTTAGCAACCTCAACATTCCCATCTCTTCTACATTAACCATTGAGAAGAAAAAAAGGGTTATGTCTGACTTATCAAATGCATAGTTGTTGTTGAGTTGAACAAGATGAATTTTTTATTTAGGTCTAACCAATGTATCATTTTAACAACCACAAATATCTTAATAGTGTCATTGGATTAGGGACGAAATTGTGATTTTGAAATGCATAAGCCTCGTAGATGTAGAATGAGTAATATGTGACATGATCAAATTCATCTATCATGGTCGTGATCACCAAAATGCTTTCTAGCATCTTATGACATATACAAATATATGTATTTTCTTCTAATTTAATATATGAACACAACAATGGCTTTTTATAAAGTTTTTAAGGTTATAGAAAGATTTTGACAATATTTTAGCACAATTGATTACTTTTCTATTTTTTTTATTCAAATAATAGTTTTATAGAGCTTGGTTGTAGCAAATCATTTTCTGATCATTGAGAACTTTTAAATTAAAACAATTTCAATTGACAAACATGGACATAAAACTACATTAATTTCATTTCATGCAACATTAAATGTCAATATCTTCTTTAAGAAATATCCTGATAATTGGCAATACTTAGGTCATATAACATTTTACTCAAAGTGACATGGACCCTGACTCAACTTGACATAGATTAGGATTGACTGAGTTCAACCTGGGCATGGACCAATTCAACCTAACATAGGCCTTGATCATCTTAGCTTGTTATGGACTAAGAATGATTTGGCTTGAACCAAACATATAACTACTTGGCTTAACATAAGCCTGGACGATATTTTCTTTATTTGGCCTAACTTGGACCCATTTACATTTAGTTCAACTTTGTCGCAATCAAGTTTGGTTTAGCTCGAGTTGGCCAAATTTAGGCATAACCCAACATGGTCTAACTTGGGTTGAATCTAACTTGACCTAAAGAAGCCTACTCTAGTTTGACTTAATGTTGGCTCAATTAGATTTACCCTAACCTTTATTTGATCCAATCATCCTATTATGAGGTCCAAAGTAACTCAACCCAACTTGGACTTAGCCTAAGCAACTTGACATAGTTGTGACTCAACCTAACTAGACTTTGGCACAACTTAATCTATATTGACCTACATCTAGCCTAACCCAACTTGACTTATGCTCAATCCAACTTAAGGTTAGACCTAACTTAGCCTAACCTAACTTGGGTCTGGATTAGCCCAACTTATTTTAGATCTGACCTAGCCTGACTTGAATTTGGCATGATTTAACTTATCTTAGACTCAACACAAACAAATTTTACATGATTTGACTCCAACCTTACTCAATCTTGTATGATTTGAGCCCAACTTAAGCACATAGTGTCTTGTTTATGCCAAACTCACATCACATTGATTTAAAATTTTTAAATTATAAACAATAATCCAATTTATATTCTATCTAAATCTAATTAAATGAATTGGACTTAAATATTCAAGAAATGTAAATTTATATTTGAAATAAATATATTTCAATAAATTTAATGTAATATGAATTGGATTTCAAAATATGAATTTTTTTCACCTATCCATCGTTATTTTAAGGGGTTTCCTTTTAACTTCCAACTAAAAATATTGAATTTAGCTAAAATTAGCACAAGAAGAAAACGTATATTCAAACTGTGCAATTTTTTACACGGTTATCTAATCATAAATTATATATATATATATAGTTAATTAACTTGATAACCACGTTAAAACTCAAATAAAATTTATTTTAATTAATAGACTGGATTCTTTTTGGATTATGAAGCATATCCCATAAACTGAAATAAACTTTGGAGTTTACCGAAATTCTTAAAACATAGAAGCACATGTAAAAATAGATTGACTGAATTTTCAGGGACTAATAAATGGCAGTCTACGACAACAGTCTATGAAGTTCAAATTTCCAATACTGAAAGAGATATTCATGGTCAATGACTCCCTCCCGGTTTGTGAAATTCAAGAGCTTCCCTTGTCTCATTCAATACTTTCTTAAGATCAACTTGGCCCGCTGAAAACAACTACACCAAAGCTCAAAACAAGTCACGTGAAAGCTGACGTGGGTCGACAAACAAACAAAACCAGAATGACTCTGGAATTGGACTTTTCTTCATTACAGCATTGCCAACACCCCATTTCACCAAAAATCTTTCTGCACTGCCATTTCCCTTTCCTTATAGGCCTTCCTTCTTCATATATCCATACCTTTTCTTCATTTTTCTGACCGTTAAAATTAACTTTTAAGACCTCTTACTGCCTTTCTTTTCATCGCTGAATTCTTTCAACAACTTCAGCTATAATTTATTGTTTTCATGAGACCATGTAATAATGCAGGTATATGAAAATTTAATCATTGCCCAATGAAGGTACAATACCTTTTATGTTATCTTCGTAACTTCTACGTACGCAGATTCACATGTTCAAGTAGAAGCTTCAACCGCAGTTTAAAGCTTCCTGATTTTGCGTATAGAAAAGTCTTTTTTGTTTTATTTCCATTCATTTTTTCTTTCATTAGTACTTATTAAGTGTTTATTCAAACAGGAGCTTCGTTTGTTGAAACAAATTATTTGACCACAAACCGGTAATGGCAACATTGTGCTTTGTGTGAAGGATAAATAATTGTAATATATGGATTATAATCTAGCCAAAAGAAAAGAAACAAAATAAGTGATCATGGTCATATGTGAAAACAAACCTAAATTTCACTTCACCAGGAATCAAGAGAAAATGAATACTTGCCAAAAGAGTAACCACAATCTGATTGTTGGATTGTTTGACATTAAAGCGATGGTCATAATAGGCTTTACTTTATGGTTGACAGTAGCATAATAGTCACAGCAAAAATCATGTTACCGTGTTAATTGTTCCACTTAAATGTGGGCTTTTCAAAAGGGGAACTTGCAGCATACTAAAGGATAGCCCCCCAGTATATGTTAAAACACAGGGTGTGGCTTAAAGAAGAAAATCGTCAATCAAAACCAGCTTATTCTGAATCTCACTAAAACTTCTACTTCACTAATTCCATATATTACAAACTAAAGAAGGAAAGTTGCTTCTTTAACACCATCTGCAAATTGTTTTATCAATTTTCCATCTTTCTCCTACAGACATTTCCCACCAAACCCAGCATTTCTGAATAGTGATTGTTTTATCTCCTCAGGGCTAATGCTATTTCTCTGTTCACCTACCTATGACCACGAAAAGAGTAAGTTTACGGTAGAGATTCAAGCATGCAATTAAGATTGAAGGGACCAAATAGAATACAGACCTCAGAACAAGATGCTTCCACTGAAAAGTCATTGAAGCTGCTTACAACACATTGCTGAATCTCAAGGCCCAATGCTTCTAATGTATTGACGGTTGATAGTAGCAATCCAGGCTTTGTGGCACAACAAATGCTGATCCTAGTGTCCTGGTCTCTCCTTTCAACATCAAACTGCAAATACATTTATTGAGAAAGTGGGTCTGTGATAATGCTTTAAGTCAGGGGTTTGGTTTGGCAGAGTACCTTGGGGGAGTTTCTTACAATTGCTTCATTTGGTTTGAGTTGGTCCCTTGAAATGCCCAACAGATTAATCTGACTTGAGCCCTCTTCCACCTCCTCTTCTTGCAACTTGCCAATCCTTTCCAAAAGCTCTTTCATGTATTCTATAGTATCCCCAAGAATAGAGGTCCTGTCCATCTGTTAAAAGTTGATATTGCTCAGTTCAGTGTGTCACACAGCAAAATCAAGAAAACAAACAAACCAAGCATGGATCATGTTATGGATGTAAGCCAAACATGAGAATTCCAATTTTGTTTATACTGATTCAGATATTACTAGTGGGGAAAAGTGAGGGTTAAAAGAAAGCAAAAGATATCGTTTTGGAAATCACCTTGCTGATCTTGGGGACTATTGACCTAAGCATGGAAAGACGGTCATTGAGACGCTTTCTTCTCCTCCTTTCTGCCATGAGATTCTTTGAGGGCTGTCCCTCTAGCTTTTTGGACTTGTGTTTTCTCTCTCCATCATCAGACATGGCTGTGTTGAAGAGTGGAATCTCTGTGGGTTGTGGATTCTCAACACCATGTTCTTCAACTTTGCAGACAGTCTTGATTTCTTGAAAGTTGTTATTGTTGTTGTGATAAAAGGCAATATCTGCATCCTCGAGTGTGGGTGGAAGTGGAGGTGAGGGATGATCGTTGCCAGGTTGAAGGTCTGGCAATGGCATTGTGAAGGCATCGGGAAATGGGTATGGTGGTAGTTCATTGGTGAAAGGGCATTCAAATCTGCGGTCTAATGGTGCTGAAAATGCACCAAAGAGGGTGTTAGAGGAGGGGAAAGATGGGTTATCAAGAAAAGTGTCAAAACTCCAACCATTAGACAATAGCTCCAAGAACCCACTGGACAAAGCATTCCATGTCTCTCTTCTTGGAGCTACCAATTCTTCTAAGAAACCAAGCTGAGAAAGCTCCATCTCTCTTCTTTCTCACTCTCTCACCCTGTGACCTCACCAACTAATAATGTTTTCCCAACTTCAAAATATTATTTACATTTTAGGTCAGTAAGCCAAGCTTTTTACTATCGGTGTCTACATTCCTTTCAACTGAAATTTATTTTTTACATAGAATAACTTTTAAATTTTATTTATAAATTATTTTTTGAAATATATTAATATATATTTTGAATATACTTTATAATATATATAAATGAAGGGAAGCATCATCTTGTAGTTATTCTTGACCAGCCAAGAAAAAATATTAGACGTCTGAATTTATTTTCCAAATATTTGTAATACTTTTTAGCATGTTCAACCATCGTCTTTATACCTCTTTTTCTTCTTATTCCTATATTTCATTAACTATAGTTTCAAAATAATTAAAAAGGTTTATTTAAATTATAAAATTTATTTTATTTACAAGCTTTTATTTTTATTATAGAAGTTTAAGGAGTTGGTATTGGGAAAATTTTAACTTTGCTTGATTGTGAATGTTTCAAAAAACCCTTAGAAAGTGAGTAAACAAAAACTTGTTTTTATACTAGTTCATTTCAATTGAGTTATTTTTAGTTCTTCTTTAAATACTCTTAAAGGATTTATTATTTTTTAGAAGACAACGAGTTTTACAAATTCTAGTATAAAATAATCCAACTAACTATAATGTTTAACTCCCCCATAATTAAATAACAAAGTGTTTTAAATAAGTTTTGATTATCTAAAAAAACAAAATGATTTTAAAACAAGAACATATTGATAAGCTCTCTTAGAGAGGAATTAAATCAATATAAAGTTTATCTGAAAACTTATTACAAAGAGTTTTCTTTATATGCAATTAGTTATTTTTCTTCTCTTCATAAAGTCTTCTTTATACAGGCAACTTTAAGAAAGATTCATTACTCAGAAGCACTAACTTAGATGTAGATGTTGTAGCATTTTGTACTAGGTCAAATGCTATTTTGCTTTTGTAGAGACAACTGTGTTGCTTGTATAGATTAGGCAAACAAAAGACATTGAAGAAACATTCCAAGAATGTCTTCGCATCTCTTAATGTTCTTCTGAACCAGCGTAGAACTTTTGAATAAAACATTAATCTTTCATGTATCTACATTAGATAAAGAGAAACGGACAAATGAGTACTACTCATACATTTGGATTTAAAACTATAGGCGTTCATTGTAACATTTAGCAAGGTCCATGTACTATAACATTTATGCTAGTCTATTTATCAAATCGTTGCGTCTAGAGTAAACTATTATATTTATGCTAGACTATTCTCTTTAGCCTTTAGGATAGACATTGCATTCAAGATTTTGTTTAATCATATATAGCGTTTAGCTCGTTATCCTAGACGATCACTTTTATAAATGCTTTTATTAAACTATAAAATAAAGGGTTCCTAGACAATCTTGTATTAACAATCTCTTCCATTTTTATGTTTAACAAATACTTATACTAATGCGAAATAGGCATAAGAGAAAGAAGACAAAATTGATCATATAAACTTTATCATGCTAGTAGTTTATCTAGTCTTTTATACATTTAGTATATCAGTTATTTATAGTAGAACATTTAACTAATCGTCTATATCAGCTTATGTGATGGATATTCAAAATTGATCAGAGCGATTTCTATCATACTAGTCATTTATGCACATGATATATAAGAGCATATAACATGTATTCAATAAGAGAATGAAATGATAAATGACTTCCTATAAGTCATAAATCATTGTTTAGAGAAAATGTAAAAATGAATGTACCAAAGCATAAATGCATAATTAATTAACCAGAGTAAGAGAAATATCACATCAATGAAATAAACATATAAGCATAAGAGCATGTAAAAAATTCTAAGTATCAGAGTATATAAAAAATAATTGCATTAGAACATATCAAATTATTATTAGAGAAAATCATATAAGTATCAGAGAAAAAAAATAGTTATAGGGAAAACAAAAATAAACAACATAAGAAAATATATGATTTTCATAAAAAAATGTACAAGATTTAAAAATAACTTCTCCCCTTATCATAAAAATGTTTTCTTCCCTTAAACAAAATTGTTTAACATATTTTCCTCCCCCTTATTTGATAAACATCAAAGGGTTTAGAGACCACATCACTACCTAGGTGGTGGTGGTGGTGTTGGGTCAACAAGTTTGGGTGTGAGAAGTTAGCTAGTTAAGGAATTGATGGAATTGATAACAAGGTCAGCTTCACACACTTTTTTTGCTAATTTGCTTCTATCATTGCAACAATTTTTACTTCTTCTCGCACATTATTTTCAATAATGAGTGAAGATACTTGATCCAGGATGGAGGAGGTGAATATGACATTGGATAGGGCAAGGGTGATTTTTGGAGGGAGCATGGCGAGTGGTTGAGTTTGTTGGGTGGTAGTGGTTGTTATGGGGATGTCAGGTTGAGGTGTGAAGATAACACGTTGAGGTCTAGAGATTGAAGGCTTGTTGTCTGATGTAGCAAAGAGTATTGTCCATCGACACAAGTACTTCCTCTTCAAAGGTCTTCAACAATAACAAGGGTCGTTGGACGAATACAACAGTCTTGATGAAATGCTTCTTCAATCGCATGCATAACAAATGTTAAAACCAAAATATGTGTAGCTTCTAAAAGACGATCTTCTAGTAAGCAAGATTGGAGAGAAATGTTTTTTTTTTTGCAGAAGAACATTGGCAGGAAACATCTAGAGGAGTCTTACTAACAACGTTTGGGTCCATTACGAAAGTACCATTGGTATCATCAAAATGATGAATTTTACATGATTCCAAGACATTGGAACTTGGTGGATGTTCTCCTTTTCTAAACTCGACTACGAAATGATTGTTGGTGCTTGTATGGCATGACATGGGCGTGTCTATCTTGACTAAATATTATTTGTCGCTAGAATAGAAAAGCATCGAACTCTGTATAGAGAGTCCTTCATTCAAGGTCTTGAACTTTTTAATTTTTTTATGTCTTGATTTTTTTTACATTTTTTCTCTCTCTCTTCCTCTCCAAAACATCCTCAATAAACATTAAGATAAAAATATTATTTAGATATTAAGGTTCACTTTAAAGAGATGATGAATTCAATATAACAAAGAAAAGAACAACATACGAGAACATCAATATCATAGATGATTGAAAACGATTATGATCTTCCAATAGAACACCTAACAGTTCAGATTGATCAGACTTTGAAAGTTCAACAACTCTTCAAGAATCTTGATTTGATTTCTTTCTAAATGAAATTCATCTTGATTCTTGGAGAACAGACGCTCCTACAATTATGAACTCAACAAACTTTATCAAATATGAAAGTTATGATTCAAAAAGTTGTTTAATGCAAAGAGTTATGCGTCAATTTATAGAAATGATACTACTGACGCAATTTAATCGATTATGTTATTAATGTAATCGGTTAAGCAATTAATACTGCTTTAACAAAATTACATTTAACGCATTTAACAGTTTAAGCATAACATGTAATCAATTAAGTAATTAATGCAAGTCATAGTATTTAAAAATATGACCATTAAGGTAGTTATGACTTATCAAAAAACAAGTTTTCAATGCATACATGTTTTAACCGATTAAGAAAAGACTGTAATTAGTTAAGTATCACACTTAAACAAATTTGAAAACTTTTTCATCCAAAAACTCATCAATGCACTCAGTAATCAAGTATATGCAAAGACACAAGTTTTAATCGATTATCCACATAATGTAATCGGTTAAAACTAGTAGTTTGCCACAATTAATCATGTACTCATATATCAAATGACTTGAAACAAATTTTATAGACTGTGTAAACAATTTATTCATCCATATATACAGGGTGCAAAGAGTTTTATCAATCTTTAACCAAATATGCATATCACAAATATAATCACATATCACAGATTTAAACATGATGAATATCCATAACATATAGTCAAGCACAATCAAATATATAAACAACAACTTTGCTTAATGTGTGCAAGAAACTATTAAAACATTTTTGTTGTTGTCATCATCAGAAACACATATGGGATATATGTGGGTTTAGCTTTCACATAGCTCCGCCTATCAACACTAACCATTGACTCTGTTACAATTGACGAGTCTTACGAGGGTGGATGTTCATTAGGAAGACACAACACTAATAAGATTTCAGCCCAACCCACATAAGCATTGACACTACTTCCAACAAAAACCCTTAAGACAATGAGTTTTTGTGTCTTCATCCTTATATCATGCTCAATTTTCTCATATCGATCTAACGTGGAACTTAAACTCATATTAGATTCTTTAGAATCTCCACATCTTGAAGCTTTTGTCATAAAGACTTGCGATATTTGGACCATATTGTACACATATAAGCCAGTCCCTAAGGTGAATAATTAACTCTGATACTACTAAGGGGTTTTATGAGTTGGTCACAAAGACTAACCATCGACTTTGATCCCACTAATAAATCTTTCGAGGAACGAGATTCATTGGAGAGATAAACCACTTAAATTTAAGTTCAACCTACATAAGAGTTTATACCACTAGTAAAAAAAGAGGATTTAAAATCGCACAATATGCTTCGGTTTAGGAGCAACCGAAGCTTATCAGAATGCGGTGGCATTTTTGTAGTTTAGTCGAACTTTTCTGTCTCGGTTCAAGGAGAACCGAGGCATATACATCATATGATCTCGGTTAAATATTCAACCGATGCATAATATCTTGCAAAATTTCTGCTGATTTAACTTTTGGCCTGACAACTTTTTTAATCTTGATCTACAGCCTCGGTTCACTTGAGACTCGAGACATATACACATCATATGACCTCGGTTAATATTCTAACCGAGGCCTAACACCCTAAAAAAGCATTTTGAATTCCATGCCTAACACTGGACTTCTTGTTTCTTCATGGACCAGCCCATGGGTCGCGTCACCAGGGAGAATTCCTCTCCTTCTCGCACATCCAACCCTAAAAAAGCTCACGAAAATACTTTCTCTCTTTATCCTCATCCCGCACAAGCCAGGGAGAATTCCTCTCCTTCTTCCATTTCTCTTCACCGTAGACGACCACGTTGGAGCAAGGATGATCGACATCTTGAGAGGAGACAACGACCTCACAGCGACGGTGTGGAGATGGCGTGACAGGCGGCGTTCGTGGTTGCTCGCAGCGGTGCTCGTGGTGGCTCATGGCGGTGCAATTGGTCATTCTTCTTCTCTTTCTGGTTCTATTCTGGTTGCAGGGAAGAGGATGTGAAATCGATGGAGTAGGCATCTCAGTGGCGGAGGCGACAAGAGCACGGCAAAAGTGTGCCGAAGGAGCGGCGGGACATGGCGATTGAGAAAGTTAGGGTTTTTAGTGTGGGGAATTTCTTTTTGGGGATCCGGTGAGGGTTGTTGATGTTTGCGCCAGTGGAGTAGCCATGGGGGTTTCGGTGGCTAGCAGCGGAGTCCTTCGTAGGCTGCGTGGGCTTGATTGGCAGAGGCGCATGGTGGTTGTGAAGCGTTGGAGAAGAAGACTTCGCATGGTGGCCTGTGGTGGTTCGGTAAAGGTGGCACAGTTGTTGGTTGGTGGTCCGATGTGAGAATGAAGTGTTGAAGATTTGTGGGCGCCTTGTTATCAAGCTTCTCCAGAATGCCGATGTCATTGATATGTGCCCAAAATACAATCTGGTGTGTTCATTTGAAAAGGTTTGACATTTTTGTTTAATCTCAAAATAAAATATGTCTGGCTGGGATTCTAAAGAGACACTTCAACTTTTTGACAACGCAGAGGAGAAGATGAAAGCTTTTTGAAAGATCCCAAGTTGAATGCAAATTAGGAATGAGTGGTTGGAAGGAAAACCTTGATGCTGGAACTGAACGCTTTAAGCTAGCAGGAGCTTCTAAGGTATATATTTCAATGGTTCTAAAGAATCATTCCTCAAATGGAGATGCTAAAAATGGAGATGATAAAAAGGTTGAGAAAACACGGCAGAATAGGACCATTAAACCAGAGATCAGTAAGGCTAATCAAGTATGAGATGGTTTGGATTCGAAATCTCTTATGCGACTGTTATTCAGTTCAGCGTTAAATGGAGACCCTGGACAAAGAATATCTTTGTTGCTTGGAGTTTAGAAGAGATATCTTATTTCTTTTAAACCAGATGCTAAGAAATAGAAAGCGAAAATGCAAAAATTAAAAATAAAAAACACTCTACTGCCTCGGTTCAAGTCCCAACCGAGGCAGTAGAGTCTGAGATACTACCTCGGTCTAAAAGGAACCGAGGCGAAAACATGTCCCTTTTTGCCTCGATTTTTAACCGAGGCAAAAAGTCTACCTCTTTTTTTTTTTGTCTGTATATGCCTTGGTTCAAAAATCGCTGTCTATGGGCGAAAATAATCGCTGTCATTTTCCTAACTACTTTTAAAAACCTTAAAATAATAAATTTATGAGTTTTCAATTTTATATCGAACTTAATTTTATGAGTTTATCATCCTTTTATCGTACTCAATTTTCTCAATTTAGACTTATGTATTTCCAAATATGAATCTCCGTATTGATTATATTAGATTTGTAACAACAATTCAATCATTATTCCATCTTTTTCACTAAATACGATGAAGAAAGAAATTATCTATATATGAAAATAAAAACAAGTTTTTTTTATATAATTGATAGATACAAAAGAAGGAAGAGTAACAGTTGCATCAGATGTAGGAGGAGGAGAGGATTGCACGAGGAAATGGGCTGCTGGAAGGAGAAAAGCAAAGCTATACACATAAGCGTTAACGACCTTTGTCAATGAGACATGAGAGTCCAACATGGAGTAATTTCAAGTTTTATATAAATTCACTACATAAACATTAAAGAAAAAACAAACTTCAAGTGATAGTAATACTATCCTTTATTATAACTTATTGATCTACGGTTGATGTAGTGGGTACAAAGATCACCCTTACAATAAACCTTAACTTAAGTACTATAAGTTGAAAGCCAACTTTAAGATAAACACAGAGGGAAAGTTTGGTGTATGTAATCAAAGACAGCTGGTAATAATTCAAGCATTGGCCAAAAGGTAAGCCTCGATGACCTTGAAAAGAGCATCACTCTTGGCCTTGCCAGCTTTGAGCTCATCTTCATTGGGTGGAGCATCTCCTTTGCTGTGGTATTTTATACTCAGCTTTACAACTGAGCCTCCGTTGGGACCATCGCTAAGTTTGGAGTCAATCGTGATCTTCTCTGCAGTGTCTGGCAAAGCAGCACCTCCAACAATGCTGTAACTGTATCCCAAATTGTCCTCATCTATTCCTTCTATTTTGTGCAACACAAACTTTGTCTCCCCATCTGTCCATTCGTTCGTTCATTCACAATTGGCAGTTAGATATATAATGGTATAATGCAGATAGAGAAAATATGTAAAAAAGGAGTGAAGATGTATCTTACCCTCAAGGAAAGAGATCTTCTTGATGGTTCCTGGGCCACCGTTGCCCTCAACGATTTCAACACTCTTAAAGGAATCAACAGCCTTTGGAACGATGTTGTCGGCGTCTTTTACAAGAGCTTTGTAAAGGGTGGCAGGAGCCACGGGAGAGGTGGTTTGGTCCTCGAATGTGAAAACTGCCATGATGGATGAATTCTTAATGAGATTGAACGGAATGAAAGACTGTATAATATGAGAATAGAAGGAGAAGATGTTTGGTGTGAGTATTTAGGAGAGGAGAGTGGTCTCTATTTATAAGCACAATGCATAGCTCATACCATTTGTTACCATAACACATCAAGTGTGAAGCCGATATCATTGGCGGTTCTTTGTTTCTGAATAAACAATTTTTCAGAGATAGTATGTCATGATTCTTTCATCTTTTTGTGTTTGTCCAACATTGTGTCTCGAAAAACTTTCAAAATCAAAGAAGTCAAATTGCATACAAGTCAGTTTCAACGATCAACGATGGCGACTGTTTGCTTGCCGGAATGGATCATTTCGAAGAGAATTACGTTAAGAGTCTCTCATGTTTTCTTAAATTATAGACATTTCCTCTTAAATTTATATATATAAATATACCTCCTTAAATTTTAAAAACATTATATTTATACTTTTAATGTAAAAAACAGAGGCATGTGTATGTATTTTTTAAAATTAAATAAAATAGGATATGGTATCGTATAGGTCACTCTTAATTTTGTATTATATAATAATAATTACTTTAATTTATGGCTTACATTAAATAAGCTATACTTTTTAAAAAGAAAAAAATAGTAAACAAATATTTTAACATACAAATCGTATATGAATTTTTCTTAATTTTTTTTTCTAAAAATAATATTTAATTCTTTATATAATTGGAATAATAGTTTTCACTCTTTACTATCATAAATTACTAATAAATTGACACAATGCAATTAATAAAATGTCAATCAAAGTATTCCTTTGACGGAATGTGGGATAGCCTGTGATGCTTTCCTAGACGCCTTCTAGATGCTGTTTCTTTTATAAAGATTTTTTAATAACCAATTTCCAGAAAGTACCCTTATATATAAAAGTAGTATTAATTTATACTAAATATTAATATCGTTTCTACAATTTCATACCGTATATATTTTCAATAAATATTTTTATTTTAAATGAATATTCTAAAATCATTTATTAATATTTTAAAAATGTATTCCTCATATTTATTTATAAAATAGATTTTACTGTAAACTTTTCTATTACAGATGTTAATTTAAATTTACTCCACAATTAATATTGATAATTTTTTGTGTAATGACTAATTGATACTTTATTAATTATATAAATAGTTAATAAGTAATACTTATAAAATTTTAGAGAAAAAAAATGAAATGAGTAACCAAGATAGATATTTGTCCAAAATAGAACTAACTATTTAAAAATAGATATTATAAATTTAAATATTATTTATTTTAAAGCTCAAACTAAAAGAAGATTCAGGTATTGATATAAAATCGTTCATTCCTGCAAATACAGTACACGTGCAGTCGCCATAGTTGAACGTGATGTATGCGCCACTCAATCTTTTTATGAATAATTTCTTAGGAAACTTTTTCTTTTAGTTTGAATTATTAAAAAATCACAGTAATTGCGAAACAAATGTAAAATTTATAGTGTTTAACACTAAATAAAAAAATTGGTTGAAATATCACAGATTATACAAGTGGAAAAAGCAATGTTTGAAAATTTAAAATTACTGAAATAACAGAAAGAAAGACAACATGAAAAATGGAAAAAGGTAACAAATTATTACTGGAGTATTTGCAAACATAAGGTTGTTTGGAAATATCGTCCCATGATGACTTGCTATTAAACTACTTCATATGAAATTTGTTCAAAGAAATGATTTTCATTGAAGTGTGTAAAGGATAAAACGAGACATACGCATCATGTACATGATCAATATTAAATTAATGAGTGAGTCGGCACCTTCGTTGAAGCATTGTGAAACCATCGAGAGGCCTTGCTTTCCTTATAAATAGATGGCACTCCTCTGCCAAAGAGCCACACACAACACAAAACAGCAACAAACATCTTCACCTTCAATTCTTCCATTCCATTCACCATGGCAGTTTTCACATTCGAGGACCAAACCACCTCTCCCGTGGCTCCTGCCACCCTTTACAAAGCTCTTGTAAAAGACGCCGACAACATCGTCCCAAAGGCTGTTGATTCCTTTAAGAGTGTTGAAATCGTTGAGGGCAACGGTGGCCCAGGAACCATCAAGAAGATCTCTTTCCTTGAGGGTAAGATACATCTTCACTCCTTTTCTACATATTTTCTCTATCTGCGTTATACCATTATATATATAACTGCCAATTGTGAATGAACGAACGAATGGACAGATGGGGAGACAAAGTTTGTGTTGCACAAAATAGAAGGAATAGATGAGGACAATTTGGGATACAGTTACAGCATTGTTGGAGGTGCTGCTTTGCCAGACACTGCAGAGAAGATCACGATTGACTCCAAACTTAGCGATGGTCCCAACGGAGGCTCAGTTGTAAAGCTGAGTATAAAATACCACAGCAAAGGAGATGCTCCACCCAATGAAAATGAGCTCAAAGCTGGAAAAGCCAAGAGTGATGCTCTTTTCAAGGTCATTGAGGCTTACCTTTTGGCCAATGCTTGAATTATTATCAGCTGTCTTTGATTACATCTTTGTGTGTTTATCTTAAAACTTGGCTTCCAACTTAACGCACTGTTTACTTTCTTATTTTTGTTTTGTCCTATTGGGAAATATTTTTCCAATATCTTTTGTATCTCAGTTCATCAATAAATTATAATAAATCAAAGCAAATTTTAATTTTTTTTTGTTTACTGCCATTTTAATTCAATATATTTTAGTAATTTAAAGTTCGGTAGTGCAAAATACGAGAAATATGTGTTTGATCCCTATCCAATCAACCGTAATCGTAGATCATAGTAGTTCAAATTTAAATCAGATTAAAAACTATTGAGTGAAAATTGTACACATTAAATTTCTTATTTAAATTTATACTATCTAAGTTCATAATTTGATTTTAGGTAAGGTTTTATAGTATTTGTATCATTTTATAAGATTTGTCGTATGAGTGGCAAGGAGAAGTTGATGGATTTTTAAAAAACTTATAAACAACTCTGTCCCGTTTTATATTTGGTGTGACTTTAATTTCAACATCTTTAATATGACTTTAAATAAAATATTGTTTGGAATAATCTTGAATAAGACATGATGAATTAGTCTTGACAAGACATATTTTTGTCGATCTTAGCATACTTATATCTTCAAACTTTAGTTTTAACCAATACAATTCTTTATCTTTTAAAATTGATATAAGTCTAGACAAAAACAACGTAGAATAATTTGGGTCAATCTTGTAAGTCAAAGATGTAATAAATTCAAGTTAAATTAGGTTAGTAAACTTTCCACACTCAATTATTTTACTAAACCTTTAGATTGAGCAACAAAGTGATATTTTTAATTATAAAATAAATCTTAAAATTGTAAAGCCAATGTATAAGGTTTTATATACTTTTCTTGATGTAAATTTTTTTCCAATAAGTTGAACAAAGTCACATCTCGATTTCTCAATTGATTAATTGCATTTATAACTAAAGACTTATTTTTCTTTTTGGATTTAGTAATATACCTACAGTGGTTTAATTTTCTTAAATAAGTCTTTTACATTTTTTTTTAATCGAGTTTTTTTTTTTTGAAAAATTGAAGCAATTAAATTATTATTTAATTCTGATAAGTTTTTAAAACCTAAATTTACACTTAATTTAATAAAGTTAATTACGATATGATTATTAATTGATGTACTATATGACTTAATCAACTTTAGTCTCATTACGCTCTATGTTCAACTCACATAAAATCTAAATATATATTAGACTTTTGTCTCGAAGACTTGAATGTAAAAGGATTGTAACCATTAATTCAAGATAACAAATCTCGGTCATAGAACGACTATAAGAGGCTTAATTGTATACCAAGTACGAGACCCATTTAAAATAGAAATAGAAAACTCTATTTTAGTTTTTCATACTTCATAAGATCAACTAGTGTCCTAAAGCTTTTGTGTGTGATGGAGTCGAGAAGGTTTGGACAATGTCGAGCGGGCAATATGTCCGGTCGGACAGATGTATAAAACTGTGGACTGGAGACAATAGTTGAATGCTCATGAATGTGTAGTTAATGAGGTAACGGTAATTGACGAGTATTTAAGGTGTGCATTGAAAGCCATTAAGAGGTAAATTAATGGGTAATATGCTCTGAAATCATATAAATAGCAGTCAAAGGAGAAGGTAAACTCTCTGTTCTTTGATAATTATATAGACTTGCAAAAGCCCATTCTGACTTGAGCGTCGGAGTGTTTGCTATAGGTCAACCCATTTGTGTTGAGAACAAGCGCGAGGAGAGCGAAGGGAGAAGGACCGATCGAGCGAGGAGGAGTGTTTCCGGGCGGAGGCAGCAGGAGTTTTCCCCGGTCTCATTCAGCAGAAACATTTTTGCGTCCACCGTGGGGCCGAGGATTGTTGAAGACAACCTTTACGACCGTAAGGATGGAGCAAGACCCGGTAGCGTTTTTACAGGAGATGAGAAGGAGAGTGGAGGCAATGTAGGCGGAAATTGAAACCCTTAGGGCCGAGTGTGATACGGCCAGAGGGGCGCAAGCTAATCATCCATCTTCCACACGCGCCCAATCACCGCCAATTATAGAGATGCCAAAAACCGAGCCAGACTCAGAAGAGGACACAGATCCCATTCCTGATAGTTATCAGGGAGAGGAGCAGAGTGAGGCTGGCTCGCAGCGGACCACAAACCGTCCGGCCCCGACCGGTCGGGCTAGAGCGTCGCATCCATTCACAGCTGCAATCATGGAAGAGCAGATTCCGGAGAGAGCATTTTCGGCCCTGGAGAAGTATGATGGGTCAGGGGATCCGGAGGAACATTTGAGATCCTTTGTTGACGCTATGACTATTTACTCGCCCAGGGAAAATGTGTGGTGCAGAGTTTTTCATTGTCAATAAAGGGAGAAGCGTTAGCATGGTTCCACTCGTTGAGGCCTCGAACCATCAATAACTTTGCCACTTTAAGAGATATGTTCGAGCGGCAGTTTTCGGCTGGTAGAGCGCGAAATCTGACATATCTGGAGTTAAGGAACATAAAGCAGGAGAAGGGAGAAAGTCTCAGGGACTTCATGGATAGGTTCAATAGAACCGCACTGCAAGTAAGGGGAGTAGGCAAGAAGTTTACTATCAGTACTCTGGCTACTGCGCTAAGGCCTTCCCCATTTGCCGATAACTTGTTTGTAGAGCCCCCGTTAACCTTGGACGAATTGCAGGAGAGGGTCGCTCGGTTCATCAGAATAGAAGAAATGAGGGCGGTCTAGAGGCGACAACAAGAGCAAAACGCGAGTTCAAGGCAGGAGAAAAAGGAGGGCAAGAAACCGTTCGTACCGGGCGAGCGGTCGAAGGGTCAGAGGTATAGAGATGGCCCGAAGGGGGCTAGGTACGAAAGATACACCCCGTTGAACACGCCAAGGGCTAGAGTGTTGGAAGAGGCCCTGAATGCAGATTTGATAAAGGTAAGACCCTCCCGGTCATCACCCAAGGCAGATGGAACTAAACATTGCACCTATCATCTAAACATAGGGCATAACACCGAGGATTGCACGATGTTGAAGGATAAGGTGGAAGAACTAATCCGAGCGGGTCATCTGAGGAAGTTTGTTAAGGAGGAACGAAAGACGAGAAGTCCACTCAGGAGGAATAGGGTGGAGCGAAGTGACAGGAGAGAGGACATGCGTCCCGACCGTAGGCGGAGTAGAAGTCGCAGCCATGACCGATCGCTGCGGGGAACGATAAACACCATTTCGGGCGGATTTGGGGGAGGGTCGTGGCGTCCGCGAGGAAGAGAAACCTGAGGGAGCTTAAAAGCGTCCATAGGGTAGATGTGAGAAAGCGCTCTATGCCGCCAATCACGTTTACGGATGAGGATTTCCACGCTCCCGATCCGGATGAGGACGACCCGATGGTAATAACGGCGGTCATTGCCCGATATAGCGTGGGAAAAGTGTTGGTGGACCAGGGCAGCTCTGTTAACATTCTGTATTGGAAAATGTTCCAGCAGATGGACATATCCGAAGATCTGATCGCCCCGTACAACGAACAGATAGTAGGATTTTCGGGAGAGGATATGTGGACCTTAGAACATGCTTGGGAACTGAGCGGAGTAAGGAGGTAAAAACCAGGTTCTTGCTGGTGGACGCGAATACCTCTTATAATGTGCTGTTAAGACGACCATGTCTGAACGCATTCGGGGCAATTGTTTCCACACCCCATCTCACGCTCAAATTTCCGTTGGACAATGGAACTATTTGCACTGTTCGGTCCGATCAGAGGATCGTGCGAGAATGTTACATGGCTGGATTGAAGGTTCAACCATCGTCGTCGGATCCACCCAGCCGGCATAGGAGGAGACGATCGGAGGTAGCCATGGCAGATCTAGACCCACGGACTAATACTGACGATCAGATAGAACCGATGGGTGAGACAAAGGCCTTCAGTCTTGGGCGGAAGGAGGAGCAGGTCACTACCATCGGAAGTGAGTTGGAGGAGGATCAGGCCAGGTTAATAGGCACTGAGTTGAAGAAAAACCAAGACTTATTTGCTTGGACTACAGCTGATATGCCAGGAATCCACCCAAAGGTTATGTCGCACAAGCTGGCATTGTTCAAAGAGGCCCGACCGGTGGCTCAAAAGAAGAGAAGATTGGGGGAAGAGAAGCGGTCGGTAGTGGCAGTCGAGGTGAAGAAGTTGTTGGAAGCAGATTTCATCCGTGAGATCAAGTACACAACTTTGCTGGTGAACATTGTGATGGTGAAGAAGATGAACGAGCAGTGGAGAATGTGTACGAACTTCACGGATCTAAATAAAGCTTGCCCCAAAGATTCTTACCCACTACCAAGTATTGATGCGTTAGTGGACGGGGCTTCAGGGTTGCATGTGCTAAGTTTCCTGGATGCGTATTCAGGATACAATCAGATCCCTATGTTTCCCTCGGACAGCGCCAAGACAACGTTCATCACCGAGCGGACTAACTATTGTTATGAGGTTATGCCGTTCGGGCTGAAGAATGCGGGGGCTACTTACCAACGACTGATGGATAGGGTTTTTGCTGACCAGATTGGCAGATGCATGGAAATGTATGTAGATGATATGGTGGTGAGGAGCCGCTCGGTAGAAGACCATGTGAGAGATCTTGCGGAAGTGTTCCACCAGGTTTGCAAATATAACATGCGCCTTAATCCGGCCAAGTGTACTTTCGGGATGCCGGCGGGAAAATTTTTGGGATTCCTGCTGACAACTAGAGGCATTGAGGTGAACCCCGACAAGTGCAGAATAATACTGGAAATGAGAAGTCCGCAGAAGCTGAAGGAGGTTCAGAGGCTGGTGGGGAGACTGACTTCATTATCCCGCTTTATTCCAAAGTTAGCCGAGCAGATAAAGCCGATAGTGAGAATCATGAAGAAGAGTACGGGTGCTGATTGGGACGACTAGTGTGAGCAAGCTTTTAACGAAGTTAAACGCATACTGGTCAGCCCATCGGTCATGGGACGACCCTATGCGAGACATGCGTTACAACTCTTCCTGGCGGTCTCGGAGGACACGGTCAGCTCGGCTTTGGTGCAAGAGCAACCTGAGTTCAAGTTCGTGTACTTCGTCAGTCGAACTTTGCAACCAGCGGAAACCAGATACAAGCAAGTCGAGAAGATTGCTTTGGCACTTGTGATGGCAGCGCG